AAGGGATGAAAAAAAGGATTGGTTGGGGAGGGCCTGATGTGATATGATATAATATTTCTTGTGTGAGTGACATGCCAAAAACCGAAAAGGTGGAATCCTCTAATCGATTCCGGACATAATTACTGTCCTTCACAAGCCGTAAGTTTGTCGATTAGCGCCTCATATATGCTGAAGTCCCGTAACTATTAGATGTCCCTAATTCAGATTAGAGGACTATTTGGCTATTTTATTTTACAAGTCTACCCAGATAGGTCATAATATCCGAACTTCAACCCCCCCCTCAAAGTTTTAATCGTAAAACCTCAGAAATCGATCCGACATGTACGGTGTCAAATATTTGACTGCTGCTGGATGTAAAAATAAAAATACTCGACAGACTAATGACAACTCCCATTTTTAAATAGTTCAACGTATACTAACTCTTGTGCCGGTTGACAACGAGCCAATTGTTGTTGTTTCAGATCACGGTTGGGTTACATTGGTGGAAGGTTTAAAATATAAAATCCCACAGATTGAAGTGGAGAAAATGGTTGATTACTATCTCACGAACAGTGTCTTTACTGGAAAAAGACCTGCAGTCATATATAGTTACGGGTTTTTCAGAGTTTGTAGTAATAAAATTTATGTAGCGTTTGAAAAGAAAGGAGAAGATTCGTGAGTGGAAAAATAAGTTAAAAAAACAAGAACTTTTTACTCCCTGGGACTCTCTCTCTCTCTCTATATATATATATATTCATGTTGGGTGTACAAGAATATCATATGATGGTATATCTGGTAGTTTTGATAAAAGGAGGTATTAGTAAGGAGCATTATAACTAAGAATATATTGCGGTGAATAAGATGTGTGTGTATATATATATGGTGACTTTGAAAAAGCCTTCTTACCATGATCTTTGTGGATCATCGTCCTCCACGCTAGATCACGTCGAGACGACGATAGATGAAGAGGAGAGTGGAAAGAGTCCCAATAATGGAAATGACAGATATATGCCGGAGGAAAGAAACTGGCCAAATCTTTGCATGTTTTTGGCCTCATGCCAAGTGGTACGTACGTAGATGTTCATGATATCACACAGGAGAAGCAGAGATGTGACCTGCATAGTCTCCAACTACAGCATGCCTTTTGTTTTATTCCCTCCAACCCCTTCCCATTATTCATCCCCCTCACCATTTGTTCTTTCCTCCCAACTAAGCCCGGCACATCGATATGACATTGCCCCAAAAAGAAAAAAAGCAGCAGTCCTGTAACTGAAAATAGAAGAAGAAGACAATTATTGGAAGGAAAAAAAAATCCATCCCCCTCTCCCCCCTCTCTCTCTGCGGATCTATTCATCACAAACTAAAAAATTTAGAGAATAGAGAATTCATATTCCGCCAAAATGAAGAATCAAAAAGTCAAAGGATAGTACATCCTAAAAAAATAGCTTGTGCAAAATTAGCTTGAATACTGTCTTTGACGAGACATATAAGTTTTGTCTGTTAGCGCCCATACTGAAGTTTCACAATTATATGTCCATAATTCAGACTTGATAATATCATTGTCATCCGCTTTTTCTCGCATTACTGGTTTAGGTTTCATTTCAACCGTTCAAGATTAGTATTGCTGTTTATTTCAATTTGCGTGTGGCCACAGAATATATCGGCTTTCTATCTAAAATCTATTTACAATGAAGTATTAATTTGCCGACAAGAAAATGATATATAGCGAAGTAAATACTGCGTACTGTCTTTTCTTCGAAGTCTTGTTATCTAGAATGTAAGTCATCTATGTATTATTAATTAATGCTTATTTTTTAGAATCAACAGATGCAAAGAAAGAGACCCATTAGTTATAAAGATTAGAGTATTATTTCTCATCTTTCCCTAGGTCCTAGAATCCATACTTCAACCCCTAAAACCTGATAGCATCGTGGATCGCATTATGCACAATATAAGATCTGACGCCAGGGTCTTTGAAATTTTATAAATATATCATGTATATATACACTGTTTTAATTTATTGTCTCGGTCGCCAAAATAGTACCATCAACACTTCTTCTCCTTCCTTTTTTTTTTTTTTTTAACAGTACGCGTATTATCTTCTTATTAAAGACGATTTTTTTCGCTCTCGGAGTTAAAACTGATCACCTCTTGCAATGAAGATCTGAACCTTTATTTATTATGTTATAAACGACTAACTCTTTCTGCTAGTTATTTCCCATTTAACTTAAACTAATTTCATGAGATTGTTCTAAGACTATACGTATATATATCTTTCATTTATTCTCTAATAAGTTATGTGGAACTCTTTCATATATTCGAATAAAGAGAAGGAGCGGAAAAGCTTGTGGTGGTGAGTTGTAACGAAGAAGATTAAAAAGGTGTTTGGGTAGAAATAAAATCATAATTTTAAAAGTGCTTTTATGGTATACAAAGTAAATATGTAGAGGAATTTGTCTTAATTTATAAAAAAGTATTTCTGAGAAATGTTTTTAAGATTATCCAAACACCCCTAAGTAAGTTTGACATATCAGAAGAAGCCGAAGGCATGCAAATCCCAACAATATTGCAAAGGTGGAGGGGTGGAGAGTGCAAATCCCAATTTATACTGGGATGAATATATAATAAGAGATGAGAATTTTGAAAGCCCATACAAAAATGACAAATGCCAGTGTGATCAAAGAAACATGCATGGACCATCTGCACGCAGAGGCTCTCATTGAAGCCTTTGGCTGTGGTTGTGTCAGATAGGAAGAGGACACGATAATTACCTAAGGCCTAATGAAGAGTACATCCACAACTAATGAATGGGGGATCATCATCATCTTCATCATATCCATCAATATTCATATATATATATATATATATATCGATGTCACTAATAAAGTAATTGGCTAAGGTCATTTTCCGGGCCTTCCCCCTGGGAGGGAATATTGTGGTCAACACGTAGACGCTAGCTTATTTTAATAGACAATATGTAATTATTGGGTTCAAGTAATGATGATTTTTGTGGCGATGGATAACAAACAGTGGTTATGCAATTCAGTGGTGAAGATTAGTACAATAAAATAACGAGTCTTTTCAAGTGGTCTTGTGTTATATAAAATAAATATGTAAGGAAAAAAATTAATCTCGTTAAACGTAAACAAAAAATTATTTCCTAAGCACAAACAAGTACGTACTATTGAAATTATAGAGGGGACCAAAATCACGAAGCACATGGATCATTATTAGCGTTTCCTTCAGTCACAATATATCGCACAGTGAAGCAGAGAAATAACCTGCACGGGCACAAGGGAACCCATTAAATTCTTCATTATATATTTATGTGTGTGTCTACACACACACAAATATATATATATATATATATATGATAAATTGTGAAGAAGGTGATGAAGTGGAGAGCTGGCTTCTGGTTCATAGTTCATATCCCACATAATTATTTACCTTGCTCTCTTTTCTTTCCTTCGAAATCAAGTCCGACATCGACATGACCTTACAGAAGGCAGCCCTCTTTAAAAAACACACACCCAACCTCCCCCTGTGACATATAACAGTATTCTTATGGAAGTAGATAGCTAGCTAGGGCATCACATATCAATGGTACTTTTATACAAAAAGAAATCATATGCCCCATACATACAGTCCACAATTATTGGATATGCGACAATAATACTCTACCTCTTCTTGTCTTATGCATGCTGTGATTAAATTCATGAAACTCGTTGACTAAACAAAACCCTTATGGTCGTCCTGTGACAAGAATGTTTTTTTTTTTTTGTAGGATATTGTTTTCTTACTTTTTTTTTTAAAATAAGCACAGCTATTTCCTTATTAGAGTAATCCTATTTGTGGTATTGTTAGACACTAAATGTAAACACTCCTATTGGAAGTAATTCTGTTCAAGACATTATCAGGTACAAAATATGAACACATCTCCCAGTGATATGGTTTTTTATTTTAATCCTGATTAAACTGTTAATATCTATCTTTTTAATAAAAAAAATTCAAAAACTCATTTGTCTCTCAATCTCATTCTTGAATGAGCTATCTACTTCTGATTGTGGTGTTAATCAGTGAATTTATATTTGCATAAGAGACGCATAAAATAAGTTTCATGATGTATATGTGTGTTGTAATAGTATTTCATTTTATACCTTAGTCATGTCAATTACGAAATTTTAAACACTTATTATGGCACTCAACGTCCTCTAACAATCCTGCCTTTTCATACATGTTGTTGTTTAATATATACCGTCATAAGTAACACAGGTGGGTTAAGAAATTCTTCAAGTAATATTAATTATCACTATACATTTACCAAAATATCCTCATCCTTGTGTTATCGCTCTTATATTTCAATTAATGTTCCTCCGATTTCCTGAAATACCCCCACCCTTCTTAAGAATCTTCTCTTATAACTCTCTCTCTCTCTCTCATTTATGCGCGCGGGTGTGTGGGGAAATTGGCCACATCCTCCATTCCCTGCCAGTGCCAGCTGCACGCCCTTCCCAGAATTACTTCCTCAACATATTATTATTTATTCAATTAACTGTCATATTTGCTAAGGATACTAGCTAATACTTTTCCAGTCTTTAATATAAAACTTATTTAATTAATTTGATTAGATTAAGAAAGTTAGGTAGATTAATTAATTATAAGAAATATGATATGTTTTTTCTAAAACACCATAATCATCTTCTTTAATATCCTCTCTCCCTCTTCTACTTGATCATAATTAAAGGAGTATCCATAAAGGTAATTTAGAAAAAATTCATAAATATAATAAATAAATATTATATTTAGGACCAAAATCAACTCAACAATTATGTCCTATATTAAGGATAAGAAGAATATTATTTATTTAAACTTGTTCATTATTCATCTCCGATCCACCCCACAATCAAAACATTTTAAGCTCAAGACACTTTTTTATCATCTCTTTTTGGAGACTAAACTCCGTTATTATTTATGATCATTTTAATTAATATGCACTTCGAATAAAGAAGACGTTAAAAAACTAAGTCAATCCTCGAGTCATTAAGTAATCTATTAGATATTCAAACAATATACACTATTACATAAGCTGGGCTCCATAAAACATTACATCCATCGACACTGGTTGTTACCTGCCCAAAAAAAAAAAAAAAAAAAAAAAAACCAAACTTACACCCTCTTGGATCCAAAACACTATTAAACAAGCACCTTGTTCTTTTCACTAATATGTCAAATCGAGTCAACTCTCTGAACCCTATTTTCCCATATGAAAAGAAAAAAACAAAGACCTAAAACATATATGATAAAGCAGCTGGAAATTATATATTTTGACCCTTTCATTGATGGAATATTCATATATATAATATCTCATTGGCCAGCGGCTTTCTGGAAGGGGGCCAGCCTATTATCTCCAAGCCTTGACTTGTACAAAGCCTTCTTGTATTCACACCATGTGAACTCTTTGTACAGCTTCTCTTCTTCCTTCCCCATCACTGAAGCTAAAGGTCCTATCTTTCCGCTCAAAGGTGGTCCTCCAAAGTATATCATTGAAAGCCTTGACCTGCTTGGGTCGGCCAGAACCCTGTGCTTCACGCTCTTGAACCTCCCGTTCGTCATAACCTGCATTCATATTTCACCCCAAAAAGAAAAAAATTAAAACTGTTGACCCCAACTTCTATAGATATTCTTGATTACTACGGCAATATCATTACTGATAAGAAAGCAAGAATCTTCTGTGAAATCAAATGTTTGGCGTATATTATAGTGTCTCTTTCAACCAATTAAGGGATGATGAATGTTTTGGCGACACATAGCATAGAGAGAGGATGAAAAAGAAGGATAAGATATCAACACTAGGTAAAATTACAGGGAAATTACAAAAGAGATTAGTGCTAAGAACTCTTTTTGAGTGTGAGATGAGAAGAATTTGAACAGATTTGATGATTTGAAGGAAAATGAATTGTGTTATAACTGTAGATTGATAAGAGGGGTACCTCCAGGATATCACCAACATTGATGAAAAACGAGGTGTGATCCGATGGGACCGAGACCCAAGTCCCATCTCTGAGGCAAATTTGCAGGCCCGACGTGTTATTGGATCTCAGCACAGAAATTAACTGTGGGTCCGTGTGTTCTCCGAACCCTATCAACTTCTTCCCACTCAATGCTTCCAGCTCCGAACATGGCGGATAGTGATTCAGCCTGAACAAACAATCGCTCTTCTCGTCTCTCAACAGCCTGCTGAATGCATTCCTTTCCTCAATTCCCAATCCATCCGCCATTAACTCCAACACCTCGTAGCTCAGCTCCCTCACCGCAGAAACATATTTCTCCAAAGCAGAGCTGCAAATTTTTTAATCCCACATAAGGAAAATCTCTTGTTTCTTTTCTTTTTGTTATTACGGAACGTTGTATATCAGCTTAGTTTATCTGAGAGTTACGATTTCAAAATGCTTCTGAGAGGAAGCAAGCTCAATTCATGAAGGAAAGAAACAGGGGACTCTTTTTCGCTTACCAGAAAGCTTGTGGGAATTGATTGAAGACGAAGAGAGTATTGGGGGAGATGACATCAGGGTTAAAGTTGAGGAGGAGGTATTCAATCCAACCGAAATCTCCGTTCCAGCCGATTCGCTTGCTTCCATAGCCAAAAGGGTCAGGAGGGCCTGCCCTGTCTTTGTCGGACTGGGGCTTTCCGAAGAACGTCTGGGCTTCATTCCCGAGAGTGTTGATCAACTCCATTGGGACGCCATGGTTGACGATCTTGAAGAAGCCGAGGTCCTGGGAGGCCTTCACTATGAGGTACTTGGCGTCAGGATCAGAGAGGTCGACCACAGGGATTCCCTCGTACAAGGTCGCCGGCTTGCAGGACCTGAAACGAAAGACGTTATTGTTTGAAGGAGGGCGAGAAACAGCAACCATGGTTGCTAGCGGAGGAAGCTAAAGAACAGAGAGAGAGAGGAGTCGAAGAGGAAGAAGAAGAGATAAGAGAGATTTGGGCTGTGAATGGAAGAGAGGGTTGGTGGGGTTTAAATGGAGGCGAGGATTGCTAATGCATGAGAGTGCTGAGGCAGAGGCGTTACGAACTATAGGAATCACACATCACATCTCGCCACTTCATTGTCCGCTTGGCGTTTATACCATCGAGAGATCAAGAATTATACTTCCCTTTTTCTTCCTTTGTGCTCTTGTTTTACCTTTACCGTCCACCCCCTCTTTTCCCCCACAAATACTATATATTGATGCTTTTTTCTTTTTGCATAAATTGCCCGCAAATAATTAATTAGTGGAGTTAGACATTAAGAAGGTGAACAGTAAAACAAGAAAAGTAAGTTCGTTTCTAAAGAACTTGGCATATCATCAATCATCAACTAATAACAATAAGTTTTTCTTGGTAATTAGTAGGCGTAATGAGTTAGTATTGAAAATGCCTTGTTATACCAATTAGATAAAAAGCGTGTTTGTGTATTTTCGAACCAGCTTATAATGAGAAGCCACATCAAATTCTAAATAATCTATAGGTCAAGAGATAGGTAAGATTGTGTTCCGATATTTTTTCATTAGGCCCCGTTAACCATTTTTCAAATGATATTAACAAGAAATAGTTTAAGTATCAAAATTTTCTACAACTTCTTCCAAAATCATACCACTTTCGAATTAAAGTCACTATACATTTAATATATAAACTCTGAGAGACGAGTGGATTGGATGAATGGACGTGGAAATGCAAAAGCTTTAAATTTGGGTTAACGTCTGAAGCAAAATCGTAATAAGAAGGGGAGTGCACTGTACATACCAAAAACATGAAAGAAGGAGATCAAGTGTATCGGGAAAAAGATGAAGAGGGTACAGAGAAAGAATTTAATGTGATAAGCTTTTGGTAAGCATGGTTGTGTATAACTTTCACAGAATAGTAAATATTGCATGCAAATGAGAGGGAAGTACAATAAGCCTAGATGGTAGCTTTTTGCTTGTTTTTTACCATTAAGTTGGACAGGGTTTGAATTTGGGGGACAAGAGGGGTGAAATTTGAGATATAGAGGCTTGGAAATTCTGGATCTTGTACATGCCTCTGTGCCTGATTCTTATTATCATTATTATTATTGTGTTGGTTAGGACTTTCTTTCATTTTATGAGACTCTCATCATAATTAAGGTCACGCTGCTATCATATCATATCAAATCAAATCACATCAATAATATATGCATGCCCCATTATGAGTCTATTATGCTATAAATTTATAATTATAATGTGCCGAGAGTTCAATTTCTTTGGGGGTTATTGTTGATCAAATCATATAACTTGTAGTCCTTAGATTTCTTTTAATCATTGATTTTAGTCCTTAATTTTTATTCGGTGCAACTTTATTTTTCATGAGTTAAGAGATTATAGGGATTGAGTTGTGTCAGTTAAAAACTCATAATGACTAAAATGTTCTGAGTGATCAAAGTTTAAAAACCAAACTGATAATTAAAAAAAGCAGGGACCAAAATTCTTTTTATTTTTTTATATTGTGTGGAGTATGAGAAATAAGCTGTAAAATATATTATTTGTGAATATTGCAAGAATCGTACATTATATATTGATGATATGTATGTTTGATATATTGTAATTGATTATATACATTTGTAAAATTTGGAAGTAATCTAAGAATAACAATTAGTTACAGAAACTAGAATTTTTATTTTTAAAATTTTTATTTTTTTAAGCTTTGAAAATTCTACTGTCGAGATAGCTTAAAAAACACAACTTTCTTGTGATCTGTTTGGTACAAGGAAAATTGAGAAAAGGGGAGAGAAGAAATTTTTAACGAGTTCGTTTTAAAAAATTAGAAAATTAGGATTAAAATTCTCTAATTAATTTTTCTTACTTTTTTTAATGTTTTATCTTATATATTTTTTTTACCAAAGTTTCATAACTCCACTTCTTTAATAATTTTTAAAACGACCTTATTAAAATTTTCTTTCCTCCTTTTCCCTCCATTTTCCTCATATCAAACAAATTCTTAGATATTCAATTATAAATTTTCACATAATCTCAAAAGATTAAGATATTTTAATCTCAAATTTTTTGAGTCTTTAAAATATAATTCTATATTATCAAATCTTTGTATTTCATTAAAATATTCTGCTCACAACTTAAAAGTGAATCACATACAAGGCTACTATTTCTATTGTATTAAATTGAAATACATAAGAGCCTCAAATAGAAGCACTGTAAGGCATATATTATTAATTTTTGTACGAAGCCTGATAAAACAATTAAGAAAAAAAAGAGCAAACAAAAGACTGAAGACCAAGATTGTACTGCAGTACTGGAGCATTGATGGGGCATCAATAAGACCCATCCTGTTCTTTTCTTCTTGGCATGTTTGAAAAAATCCCAACAAATTAATTAACGGTTTGGCCGATGATGATAAGAAATTAAGGACAATCATAACGATCACAAACCTCTCTTCTTCTTCTTTTTTTGGGGGGAAAAAGAAAAAGATGAGGCTTCCCTAACCTTGAGTTGGTCATGATTGAAAGACGTCTAAAAGAAACGTCATGATCCAATCAAATTGATCATATGAAGCCATATGGAGGAATGAGATGAGATATAGACCTTAATTACTATTTTTCCTTTCTAAAATTATTATTAGTTTTGTATCAATCTAATATGACGTAGACTTCCTCAAGCACGACTGTATGATTCTATTACAACCGCTCTCTCTTAAAATAATATATATACATAACATTGAAGTTTATGTATGTCCCGTGAATTTTCTTTTTCTTCAGTGGGGGCGGAGCTGCATTATTGTGCATATGTATAATTATTTAATAAACACACACACAGACACACACACACATTCTCCGAATTATTCCTAATTGAGTAACCACTGCATTAGTTTATTCAACAAAAGGTTTTCAACCTGTAATTTAGTTTCTTTGAGCGCACACAGAATGAACTTTTTTGATTCTTAATTTTTTTATCCTTTCTTTACAAGGAATATCTGTGTTTGTGTGTGTGTTCGTCATTGATTCCTTTACTAACAGGTAAATTATAATTGATTAAGTAGCACGTAAAACCTAATTTTGATTCTAAACGTAAAACCTATTTATCATATTTATTAATTTTTTTCTAAATTATCTCTATTGATACTTCCTTAACAATAATCAAGTAGAAAAGAAAGGGAGGATGTTAAGAAAAATAATTATGGTGTTTTACGAAAAAAATGTTATATTTTTTATAATTAACAAACTTATCTAACTTTATTAGTCTAATCAAATTAGTTAAATAGGTCTTATATTAAGAACCGGATGAGTACATTATTATGATCACTTAGAATTATAATACTACCTTTAATCCTTACTATAAGAATTAGATAACTAATTTGAAGATAATAAGAATATTAGTTAAATTAGTTATTTGTAATAAATGTGTGTTGGTTGTCTTGCTAGGAACCTTCTTAATATATACAATCGATAGGGATACTTTAATGAAAAAACTATAGATCTATGAGGTAAAGTGGACTGGAATTTTATATTTAGGAAATATAACTTCAAACTAACTCTTATATTAATAACTTGAGCTAATATATATTTGAAGTATATGTACAGTGTTATTAACATATTCTTTCACAACTGTCCAGTGCAATATATTGAAATATCTGTAGTGTAATGAGCCTGCTTAACTTGTCCTTGAGAAAATCCTCCGCAATCTTATCTCAATCCATTCGGCTGGGTATTTCAACGTGAAAATCCTCGATTGACTAATTTCAGTTTGTGTCTGAGATGTTGTCTAAGTGTATATGTACGTGTAAGACAAATTTCCTTGAGTTGTTATGTTGTTCCTAGTGCTCAACATGGCTGACTTTTCGAAGAAATAACTTTGAATAAATAAGTCAATATATGTCTGATTAATGGAGACAAAAGGGATAAAAGCAAAGATTGTTAGTTCCAATAACACAACAAAGATCTTCAAAAGAATTCGGCAATGGCGATTCTTTTAATTGCAGAAGGCGATTCAACTCTTGTTATAAGCCTATCTGGCATTATAAGTGCATTGAATGGAGTGAACAATATACATAATTTAAGTTTTATTCATCGACTGTTAACTTTCTAAGTTCATGTATAATTGGTGAAGTTGTTATTCTTATATACTTCCACTTCGATTTATTAAAAGCATAATAGCTTCAACATATATTCTAAAGCTTTTATTATTCTCATTGGAATTTTGTCAAGAATATATGGGAATTTGTTACATATACTATTTTTTTAAAGATATTGCGACGTGTCATCAGCAAGTTAGATTATTTACTTATATCAATATATAATTACATGGGCATGCACAGTCTGAAAATTAGTACAACGATGAGATAATTAATGGCTCATGAATAACGTAATGAATATAAATTTTATATTTTTAATAGATACTAAAATTAACAATTTATAATATGTGTATAGAACTCCAACTCTTTCAATCCACGTCTGATGTTAATAGAATTTGAAGCTAAGTTCTAAAATAAATCCTATATATAACTACATAATTAAGGAGTTTCCTTTGAATTAGTAAGGGATAGAAATTGGATAGGGCATATATTATTTTATTTTATTTATTTTTTGTCTGAACATTTGGACAAACCTGAGATCACCAGTACAAGGAAGTTCGACTTTTTCATTTGCCTGAAGGAAACGTGTGGGAACACATGGGACGTGGTTCATTATCGTCATTATTGATCCCAAGTTTCGTATGTTCATTTTCCATATATTCTTGTAATACCCAACAATTAATCCGATGTTATTTCAGGTAAACATTATAACCATAAATTTATAAATTTGCATGTTTAAATCAAAGTTGAGTTCCGTAAGTATCTTATAAATTGAATGCATTAAGATTTTATATTATATTATATTATATTTCTTTACCACCCTGACCTAACCCTTCCTCGCAAGGAAGGTGATCCGTATATACTTTTATATTATAAATCGAAGTGGAATACAAGAGAAGTTCATCACCATCTCTCTCATGTTTAATCTTTGAAAAATTGCCATATATAT